GCTTGCGAGGTAGGTGATGTTACATGTGATGGCTGTAGCGAGGGTGATTGTTGGGTTGTTGCTTGTGGGGGTTCTGGGGACGGGGGCTTGAAATGCAGAGATTGTTGACTATAAACAACTGCTCTTCCTTTTTTTTTCATTGGAAGAATAGATATGTTGGTAAAACCACAAAAAAAGGAATGGAATCCGGAGTAACTGTTGTAGAATACTGATGCATTGATGTGGGTATCAAAATGCAAATAAGCGTAACTAATCATACACAGTATATTATTAGAATCAAAGTCAGGTAACAATCATTGAAGATCCGATGATATTTACAGTGTCCTACGATTAGTTGTCTAGCTGTTAGTTGTTTATTGATTTTATTATAGTTAATAAGCATGTCCTAACTGGTATTACCATTAATGGCTGATATAATTTTAATCAGAGACATCACTATCTTCATCTTCACTTCCATTTTCATATGTATATATCTGACTATATTCAATGATTAACTTCTGCATTTGCTCTTGACATATTTACATAAAATCATCCCTATTTGCTTCTTTTGCTTTTATCAAATCAATATAATATCTAAAGTATGAATTAAAGAACCTTTTATACATATATTTTTCCTTTTCAAGTTTTAAAATAAGTTCATCAATAAAACTACAATTATATGTATCATTTAATTTATCCATACAGAGCTTACATGCAATCATACACATATATTCACCCTCACCTGATTCACATTCATTGTTATCTGAATCACCCTATGAGGAATCTGCACCAGAGGTGTTTTCTAACGTTGCATCAAAAATATAAGGAATTAAGGATTGCTGAGAATTTAAATTTTCAGCATATGTTTCTTTTGTCTGTGTATTTGAAATATGAGGAATTTCAATTTACTGAGAATTTAAATTTCCGGCAACTATTCTTTTAGAGGTAATGTATCAGGATTTTCATAGTAATTCTCATATTTATGTAATTTTTCCTTTAGTTTTATATTTTCCTTTAATGTTTTCTCTTTTCTTTTTCTAACAGAAATAATATCTCTTTCATTATTCGCTTTACTTAAATTATTTTTAGATGACTCTTTTTGTTTTTTTGATGCTTTATGTTTTATTAATAATTTATTTTTTTAATATTATAATTTATATCATATTTTTCATAAATTGTTTCTTCAGCAAATTCTTTAATGTTTATAATATTATTATTTAAAAATATACTTAATTTATTGGTATCAAGGACGATTTTGTCATTGTTGAATATGATTGTATTGTTCATGTTTAATATTATGAGGTGTTACATTTATATAGTAATAAAAATTCAATTTTTATTTTTTCAAATTTTTTAAATGTATGCATGCCAAGATATATATGCATAATTTAACTTTATGAAAATTATTTTGGTTATACCAACTTATTGTAGCTATTCGTCCAAATAGTACCAATAAACTAGAGCATAATCATTATAACCTCGACTGGTCCCCTACGCGGCCTGCACAAATTTGATAATGCTTCTTAACCCTGTTGCAACAATTCTTTCAACAAGCTGATCTTGTGATAGTTCTTTATAGCTGATCCTTTCAAAATCACTTGGCAGTCTGGAGAAACCATGGTGCAAATGTACAGTTGATTCAGGTAGACCTTGAAATTTACAAGCTATTAAAAGTTTATTCATATAAGCAAAACAATGTAAGATGGGTTATTATAGAAATAAAGGCTAATACATACTTCTCTTTTGATGTGAGAAAAAATAGTGTAAAGAGAAAGAGAGGGGTGAATTGGGTACAGAGGCTTTATATATCAAAGATTTAAACACTAAGTGAGATTATACAACCTCAATGTCCTGACATGTCAAGGTCACTAGACCCGTAAGAAATAATACGCCCTCTACAGTCACATGAATAAACTTTCAATAGCTTGTAAATTTCAAGGTCTACCTGCATCAACTGTACGTTTGCACCATGGTTGCTCCAGACTGCCAAGTGATCCTGAAAGGATCAGCTATATACAACGTATCACGAGATCAGCTTGTTGAAAGAATTGTCACAACAGGGTTAAGACGCATTGTCAAAGTTACGCAGGCCGAGTAAGTATCGTCGAATCTTCTATGATTGTTACCTGATTTCGATTCTAATAATGTACTGTGTATGATTAGTTACGCTTATTTGCATTTTGATACCCACATCAATGCATCAGTATTCTACAACAGTTACTCCGGATTCCATTCCTTTTTTTGTGGTTTTACCAACGTATCTATTCTTCCAATGAAAAAAAAAGGAAGAGCAGTTGTTTATAGTCAACAATCTCTGCATTTCAAGCCCCCGTCCCCAGAACCACAAGAAGCAACAACCCAACAATCACCCTCGCTACAGCCATCACATGTAACATCACCTACCTTGCAAGCTAAGTCTCGTTGTCAACAAACAAAAAGGTAAAAATCTAAAATTGGACACTAAAGGAACTTTAGTCCTTTTTATCTGTACAAACTTGTTTTTTTTAAAGATTCTCACTTGATTTAATATGTCGTTAGACTGTTCGAAGAAGGATTGGTTTTGCTTAAGCAAGAGATGGAAGAGAAAGGAGAACATTTATTTATAAATAAATTTAAAAATTTTATTAAACATATAATGAATTGAGAATATTAAAATTTTTCAAAACACTGCAATATATTAAATGCTAAAACATATAGCAAAAAATGAACAATTACTTTATAAGTATAGATTGTATTTTTATTTTTTTTTCATCTTCAACACTTTTTGCCAAGACTTTTTAATTCATCACATGACATAACATGAGCAATAATTTTACTTTTTTGTATAAAAAAATAAATTTCTTTAATAATAGCAAGATAAGCATGGAAACTATCAGTATAAAGAATTATAATAAAAAAGATTCTTCTATAAAGTCATTTAATGATTTTAAATATAATCTTAATTATAAACCATAAAATTTTATAATTGATCCTACTTTTGCATTTAGTAATTGTAGCACATGGCTTGGTAAAAAACCTTATACAATTAAAATAAATATTGATATAACTAAAGAAGATACAGTGAACCCCCGCTTTTTGCAACAGCGGGAATTCCGTCAAAAAAGCTGCAAAATCTGAGGAACTGTAAAATGTGAATATGTTACACAAGTGGGATCGATAAGCTGGCAATCACATCTTTCCTTATTTAGTTTAAAAGCTCTTAAATAATAGAATACGATAGTGTATCTCTTTTGTCACTGGTTCGAGTCTCACTGTCTCTGAAGTTCGAGATTAATATACAATATATAAGGCTGAAGCGGGAAATTGCAGGTCCCGATTTCCAAGTTGCAATCTGCAAAAACCGAGGAATCTGCAATTTTACTAAGTGTTGAGCGGGAATCTGCTCAAAAAAGTTGCAATAAGTGGGGATCTGCAATAAACGGGGGTGCAAAAAGCAGGGGTCCACTGTAATATTGATTTTGAAAGTATGATAAATGTTTTGTATAATAAAATTAATTCTTATTTTAAAAAATGGAAGGCTTGAATACAACATTAATTAATCCTCTAATAAACTTAGCTATATTCGAGAATACAATAATATTATACTTAACAATAAGCAATATTACAGTTATTAAAAATATTGAAAATAAAGAAAAAGTTGATATTGATTTATTGAAAAGTGAGAAGTTTAATATATATCCATTGATATTTTCTCCATCAATTACTAAGTCTAATGAGAACATATATATATACTTTAACATAAAAAGTGCTTTTATAGAATTTTTAGAAAGTAATACAGAAGATATTAACATTGAAATTAATTATGATACAGCTATAAATGCATTTAGGAATATAAAATATATTAATGTCATGTGATGAATTAAAAAGCCTTGGCAAAAAGTGTTGAAGATGAAAAAAAAATAAAAATACAATCTATAGTTATAAAATAATTGTTCATTTTTTGCTGTATGTTTTAGTATTTAATATATTACAGTGTTTTGAAAAATTTTAATATTCTCAATTCATTATATGTTTAATAAAATTTTTAAATTTATTTATAAATAAATGTTCTCCTTTCTCTTCCATCTCTTGCTTAAGCAAAACCAATCCTTCTTCGAACAGTCTAACGACATATTAAATCAAGTGAGAATCTTTAAAAAAAACAAGTTTGTACAGATAAAAAGGACTAAAGTTCCTTTAGTATCAAATTTTAGATTTTTACCTTTTTGTTTGTTGGCAATGAGAATCAGCTTGCGAGGTAGGTGATGTAACATGTGATGGCTGCAGCGAGGGTAGTTGTTGGGTTGTTGCTTCTTGTGGTTCTGGGGACGGGGGCTTGAAATGCAGAGATTGTTGACTATAAACAACTGCTCTTCCTTTTTTTTTCATTGGAAGAATAGATACGTCAGTAAAACCACAAAAAAAGGAATGGAATCCGGAGTAACTGTTGTAGAATACTGATGCATTGATGTGGGTATCAAAATGCAAATAAGCGTAACTAATCATACACAGTACATTGTTAGAATCGAAATCAGGTAACAATCATAGAAGATTCGACGATACTTACTCGGCCTGCGTAACTTTGACAATGCGTCTTAACCCTGTTGTGACAATTCTTTCAACAAGCTGATCTCGTGATACGTTGTATATAGCTGATCCTTTTAGGATCACTTGGCAGTCTGGAGCAACCATGGTGCAAATGTACAGTTGATTCAGGTAGACCTTGAAATTTACAAGCTATTGAAAGTTTATTCATGTGACTGTAGAGGGCGTATTATTTCTTGCGGGTCTAGTGACCTTGACATGTCGGGACATTGAGGTTGTATAATCTCACTTAGTGTTTAAATCTTTGATATATAAAGCCTCTGTACCCAATTCACCCCTCTCTTTCTCTTTACACTATTTTTTCTCACATCAAAAGATAAGTATGTATTAGCCTTTATTTCTATAATAACCCATCTTACATTGTTTTGCTTACATGAATAAACTTTTAATAGCTTGTAAATTTCAAGGTCTACCTGAATCAACTGTACATTTGCACTATGGTTGCTCCAGACTGCCAAGTGATCCTGAAAGGATCAGCTATATACAACGTATCACGAGATCAGCTTGTTGAAAGAATTGTCACAACAGGGTTAAGACGCATTGTCAAAGTTATGCAGGCCGAGTAAGTATCGTCGAATCTTCTATGATTGTTACCTGATTTCGATTCTAACAATGTACTGTGTATGATTAGTTACGCTTATTTACATTTTGATACCCACATCAATGCATCAGTATTCTACAATAGTTACTACGGATTCCATTCCTTTTTTTGTGGTTTTACCGACGTATCTATTCTTCCAATAAAAAAAAAAGGAAGAGCAGTTGTTTATAGTCAACAATCTCTGCATTTCAAGCCCCCGTCCCCAGAACCACAAGAAGCAACAACCCAACAACTACCCTCGCTGCAGCCATCACATGTTACATCACCTACCTCGCAAGCTAATTCTCATTGCCAACAAACAAAAAGGTAAAAATCTAAAATTTGACACTAAAGGAACTTTAGTCCTTTTTATCTGTACAAACTTGTTTTTTTCAAAGATACTCACTTGATTTAATATGTAATTAGACTGTTCGAAGAAGGATTGGTTTTGCTTAAGCAAGAGATGGAAGAGAAAGGAGAACATTTATTTATAAATAAATTTAAAAATTTTATTAAACATATAATGAATTGAGAATATTAAAATTTTTCAAAACACTGTAATATATTAAATACTAAAACATATAGCAAAAAATGAACAATTACTTTATAAGTATAGATTGTATTTTTATTTTTTTTTCATCTTCAACACTTTTTGCCAAGGCTTTTTAATTCATCACATGACATTAATATATTTTATATTCCTAAATGCATTTATAGCTGTATCATAATTAATTTCAATGTTAATATCTTCTGTATTACTTTCTAAAAATTCTATAAAAGCACTTTTTATGTTAAAGTATATATATATGTTCTCATTAGACTTAGTAATTGATGGAGAAAATATCAATGGATATATATTAAACTTCTCACTTTTCAATAAATCAATATCAACTTCTTCTTTATTTTCAATATTTTTAATAACTGTAATTTTGCTTATTATTAAGTATAATATTATTATATTATCGAACATAGTTGAATTTATTAGAGGATTAATTAATGTTGTATTCAAGCCTTCCATTTTTGTAAAATATAGTATATTTCATCTATAACCGCCAATGTTTCAATTTTGAGATTTCAAATGCCGCTTCTTTATTTAGTAATATTCAAATAATAGTAGGGAAATCGTCAAGACAGTGTGATCTGTAAGTTCGGGAAGTATATCTTTCCACAAGAGTGATAGCTTCGGGAGTTGGTAGTTCTTGGGAATAAGCGTCTATAAAATGCCACACCCTTCCATAAAATCGTCTAATTAGTGTAGGTACTTCGTCTGGGGGCGAAACAGTACCCAGGAACTTTGGTAAGTTTTCTTTCAAAGCTTTATAACTGTAATTACAATTGATTCGTGCATGGTACTTTGCTCGGCCCTAATATCGTTCGATCCAATTGCACTCGCATTGGAATTTTGGATATAGCTCAAAAATGTGACCCGCGTTCACCACAGCTTCACAAAGGGCTGTCTTTTGATCTTGAAAGTCGGGCTGAGCACCAAGAAAATGTCTAGTACAACACTTGCTATCGTCCGCTTCTTCTTTTTTGCAATCCATTCGCCAAACTTTTCCAGGTCTATACGGGTCTTCCTCAAACCAAAGTCCACGGTCATTCAAAATGATTTTTATCCCCTTGAAATGGCATACTTGCTGTTTGTCGGCCGTGACTATCGTGACACCTCGCTTGCGTTTCTTAATGTTTTCTTCGATATTCATGTACATCCTTTGTGTTTTCTTTTCTTTGGTTGCTTCATCGATAAAGTAGCTGTCCCAATACACATGCATGCTGCAGTCATGCTCTGCGTTATCCACTCCACACCGCTTTAATTCCTTGCACATAGTTCTCGCCAGTAATGCATCACTTGGGTAAGCATTATGATTACTACTTTGATCGAATATAAATAATACTTGACAACCAGGGTGCAAAAGGTCAAATAGTGGGATCGCATCTTCTTCTAACTGCTTAACCATGTCTTTGCTGGTCCAATACTGTTCTCGGTTTGCCCCTGCATAGAAGTATGTATGCAAGGTCCATATTCCAGATCGCATTGTGCCATGACACGCGCATTGGAACTCGGATATCATAATGGATTGTCCAGGGCTTTTGTTGCGTAGGATACTCTCGCCGTCTGCCAGCCATAGCTTTTGTTTACCATCGTTTGCATAGAAGGTTGACTCATCATGGGTAACCATAACAATTTTCTTTTGATCAGGCGCTAAAGATGGCTCAATGATGATTTCTGCACGTTGTCCTTCGTACGAGTCCATCCGCTTCTTGTACTCCACCATTCGTTTAGCCCATTTTAATCGGTATGCTACCACGTCATCTCGTTCGTGCCCGTCGTAATATATATCCTTGCTGTTTTTGCGGTATTGATAACCCCACTCAGACATATATCGCCATAATGTCGTCTGTGATACTGAGCCTGGAACACCAAGTATCTCAGGGATGATACTTTCATTGATAACTTTAACAAAAGCAGGGAGGTTACGTAGATCGAGTTTTTAACCGCCTATCAATAGACGGATTCGTTCTTCCACGGACTCGTCACTGAGGAGTGATTCTCTTTTTACATGCTTCCCTTGTTGATGTGTTGAGATGGACCCAGAATCACGGAATTCGCGCGCCCAGTAGCGGATGGCCTTTGCCCTATACTCTTTTGATGGGGTGGTCCAGATATCGACAGCAGCTCTTTGAGAACTATCAATACTTTTCAATCCCTGTGACCGATAGTGATAGTACCGGTATACAGCTTGTGTTTTTGCCATTTGAAAAGCACCCTTAGTATTGAGCGTGCTTCCTTTGTTCGCTACCGGCTTTATAAGTGCTTTTAAAGATGCTAAAAGCTGTGAGAGGTGCTCCTCACCATCAATATTGGCGACGCTGTAGTTTTTGTGGAGAGCTTTAGAAGAGTTCTCTGAATGTATACACGGTGTTTGCGTCACCTTCGTGAAATAATCATCGACCTTTTTGCAACCTTCTGCAGCAGCTCTTGCTTCTGTTCGTCTTCGCCAGTTGGTCGTACGGGAGTCTTGTTATATACTACATGCATGGATTTATCTGCATCGTCTTTCTAAGCCAGCGATAGTTTTGCAGCCTGTTGTAATATATTGTGCGTCAGGTCAAGGAGTTCCCAATCGTTGATATTATCGTCGTCGTTATTGTCACTTAGTTCAGATCCTGCATCGACATATGTAATAGTCGCTGGACTTTCCGAAGCTATGAATCTTCCATATTCACCATATTGTTTTCATTTGCATTCTCTCTAGCGCTCTTCTGGCGCTTCCTAAGTGGTGGCATCTGGTAGAAGGAACAGGGTGTGGCCACATCTCAGCTCTTGCGAATAATAGTGTAAGGCATTAGATACTAACCAAATTGGGAAATTTCACGTGAGTATTATTTACTCGAATATGCATGAGTGCGTTTCAATTTTCCCCTTCGCCTGCAAAATTTTCCTAAACCGGCAGACTTTGACGACTATCCTCTCCTTCCTAAAACATTTTTTTAAGAAGTTAGCCAAATAGAATTAGACTAAAGATGCTTAAGAAACAATTGATTTGGTTGCTTTTGTGGTAAACTTATTTTTGGGGGTACTGATAGCTTTCAATTTTGGGGAAAATTTTGGCGGTTATAGATGAAATACACCATAAGAATTAATTTTATTATACATAACATTTATCATACTTTCAAAATCTATATTATTTTCTTTAGTTATATCAATATTTATTTTAATTGTATAAGGTTTTTTACCAAGCCATGTGCTACAATTACTAAATGCAAAAGTAGGATCAATTATAAAATTTTATGGTTTATAATTAAGATTATATTTAAAATCATTAAATGACTTTATAGAAGAATCTTTTTTATCATAATTCTTTATACTGATAGTTTCCATGCTTATCTTGCTATTATTAAAGAAATTTATTTTTTTATACAAAAAAGTAAAATTATTGCTCATGTTATGTCATGTGATGAATTAAAAAGTCTTGGCAAAAAGTGTTGAAGATGAAATAAAAAATAAAAATACAATCTATACTTATAAAATAATTGTTCATTTTTTGCTGTATGTTTTAGTATTTATTATATTGCAGTGTTTTGAAAAATTTTAATATTCTCAATTCATTATATGTTTAATAAAATTTTTTAATTTATTTATAAATAAATGTTCTCCTTTCTCTTCCATCTCTTGCTCAAGCAAAACCAATCCTTTTTCGAACAGTCTAATTACATATTAAATCAAGTGAGTATCTTTGAAAAAAACAAGTTTGTACAGATAAAAAGGACTAAGTTCCTTTAGTGTCAAATTTTAGATTTTTACCTTTTTATTTGTTGACAACGAGACTCAGCTTGCGAGGTAGGTGATGTTACATGTGATGGCTGTAGCGAGGGTGATTGTTGGGTTGTTGCTTGTGGGGGTTCTGGGGACGGAGGCTTGAAATGCAGAGATTGTTGACTATAAACAACTGCTCTTCCTTTTTTTTTCATTGGAAGAATAGATACGTCGGTAAAACCACAAAAAAAGGAATGGAATCTGGAGTAACTGTTGTAGAATACAGATGCATTGATGTGGGTATCAAAATGCAAATAAGTGTAACTAATCATACACAGTATATTATTAGAATCAAAGTCAGGTAACAATCATTGAAGATCCGATGATATTTACAGTGTCCTATGATTAGTTGTCTAGCTGTTAGTTGTTTATTGATTTTATTATAGTTAATAAGCATGTCCTAACTGGTATTACCATTAATGGCTGATATAATTTTAATCAGAATCATCACTATCTTCATCTTCACTTCCATTTTCATATGTATATATCTGACTATATTCAATGATTAACTTCTGCATTTGCTCTTGACATATTTACATAAAATCATCCCTATTTGCTTCTTTTGCTTTTATCAAATCAATATAATATCTAAAGTATGAATTAAAGAACCTTTTATACATATATTTTTCCTTTTCAAGTTTTAAAATAAGTTCATCAATAAAACTACAATTATATGTATCATTTAATTTATCCATACAGAGCTTACATGCAATCATACACATATATTCACCCTCACCTGATTCACATTCATTGTTATCTGAATCACCCTATGAGGAATCTGCACCAGAGGTGTTTTCTAACGTTGCAACAAAAATATAAGGAATTAAGGATTGCTGAGAATTTGAATTTTCAGCATATGTTTCTTTTGTCTGTGTATTTGAAATATGAGGAATTTCAATTTACTGAGAATTTAAATTTCCGGCAACTATTCTTTTAGAGGTAATATATCAGGATTTTCATAGTAATTCTCATATTTATGTAATTTTTCCTTTAGTTTTATATTTTCCTTTAATGTTTTCTCTTTTCTTTTTCTAACAGAAATAATATCTCTTTCATTATTCGCTTTACTTAAATTATTTTTAGATGACTCTTTTTGTTTTTTTGATGCTTTATGTTTTATTAATAATTTATTTTTTTAATATTATAATTTATATCATATTTTTCATAAATTGTTTC